TGAGACAAAACTGAACGTATAAAATAACTTCTAGGACAACAAAACATTAAAACATGTTTTTTTTCCAGAGCTTTCAGCCGCCTCTCACGGCCTTCATCACCAGTTAAACTTTGCTCGGGCAGTTTATCAAGCAAACCATCAGCATTATATGGTGCAACATGACGACTGGAGAAAAACTAGACACAATAAACTCTCTGAATACTTGGAAATATTTGTCAAACTGCTTCTTCTAACGGTCAAAAAATGAACCTTGAAGCTTAAAGTTTCGTTTGCACGCTCTGTGACTCTAGTTGAGATTAAACAGCTTTAAAACAAGATCTCTAAATACGTCATATATCAACTCTTCATTCAGGAACACTACTGGCCCAGAAGCTTCTCATTATAGATGAACTCATCAACAAGCCTAGTTTATATCACCTGCAGATCTGACAGCGTTTGAAAAACATTATATTTTCACTCTAAAAATTAATTTCCAAACGCCGTCTGACCGTCTGTGTTATCTACGGTAACGCATGCTTTAATGTTGACCAGCCCAGTAGTGTGTGTGTACAGTAAGCACGTACGTATACAAAGAGACAAACAGGAACACATGCGAGATTCAACCAAACGTTTCACAGTCTACAGCTAATCATACGGAAGCTCGTTGAGACCAAAACAAAAAGAGCTTAAAATAACTTCTGTCACAATGTACTTCCATTTGCTTTAAAAAAAAAAAAAAGAAAAGAAAAACATAATTATGAGTGGAGCTTTATGAGATCTTTCAAAATAAGAGTATACTGTATGACATGTTATAGTACAGAGTGTGATGGCGGGAGTTTAAATAAGAGAAAAAAAAAAGAAAATCAAAAACCCGTCTTCCCTGAATTCAAAGTTAAAGTGCCCGAAATTAATTGATACGACCAGTCTGCTAATGATGTGTTTTAACAGCTAAGGCTGTTTATCAGATACACAAACAACAACAACACGGCTTTAAGGTTGTTTAACTATTTCCATGCAGACTTTCGAATCAGTTTAAATTATAACATATGGAAGCTAAAAAAGGCCAAAATAGAGATTTACAAACAACTGAATACCTGAATGTATGTGAAGTTTTGCAAATATTTGGTAGCCTGAATTTTAAAATTTTAAATTTTCAGGATCAATTTTGGCGTTTGAATTTCAAACTTGATTTTATGACTTTAATTTTTCTATCTACAAAATGAGCAATTAAAGTTGGGCAACTCGAATATAATGTTTTTTAAATTGGTCTTTTACACTTCAATTTTCTATGTGAATTTGTGAATTATTTGAAATATTCACTGATTTTATTTCAAGTTTTGATAATTTTTGAAAGCTGAAATTTTTAAATTTTAAATTTTCAGCATGGATTTTGGTGTCTGTATTTCAGCAGTTTGAGCTAACTTTATTTTTTGACCTGACTTTTTTTTATATCCAAAAATCGACCAAATACAGTTGAGCAACTCCAGTGTAATTTTTTTTTAAATTGTTCTTTTACACTTTAATTTTCTATCTGAAATTGTGAATCCTAAATTTTAAGCTTGCAATGACTTACTGGGAACTTTCCAAGAGGGGAATTAAAACCACAATAAGCGAAAAAGGTGTTACATAATTAATTCAATGGTATTTTAATATCAAAATTAGGTATCCAGAGGTGCTCCAGTTATTTATTATTGCTCTTCCACAAAGTTTGGGTACTTCCGAGAGACTGATTTAACAAGTAATCGATACAGAAGAGCCAGGATGTCTTGACTTTTAGTCCGGAGAACCAAAAATGCTGGATCCTACAATTCCCATAATGCAACATACCTTCCATTAGACCCTCCCTGGCACCTAAATTCTTCCCTTGAAGTCCCAGAATATGTCATCAAACCATTTTATTTATGACTACTACTTGTCACGCAGAGTAAATCCGAACTTAATTACAACGTTGATGGAGCACAACTTTAAATGTCACAAGCTTTTGATTTACTGGTCCATCTACGTCCCAACCCTCACCTATGGTCATGAGCTCTGGGTAGTGACTAAAAGAATGAGATTGCAAAAAAACAAAAAAAAAAATGGATGGATGAAATAAGATATTCATTTGCTTTTAAGATTCAAATCCATCTGACCTTTTTATAAGTCTCACTTCCACAGCATTAACCCAGTGTTTGATAGTAAATAAACGAGGGTTGAAACCCCTTTAAATAAACTCTAAACTATATATGTTTCCCTCCGGTAGGGAGAGGCCTCTAATATATATTTTGCTCCAGGCAACACCACAAAAATATCTTTGGTTATAACACAAAAAATAAAGAAAGTAAATCTGTAAGATAGTTTGACACAGGAAGGTGAGAACAGCTGAGAATAGTATCTATCCACTAGGTGGCGGTATTGTACAACAGTCATTCAGTACCTGCAGCTCAAACAAAGAAGCTTCAACATCCTTTTTATTAATGACTTGTGGTTAATTCTAATAATCTGACGTGTAGTTTTGTTTGTCCACATGATTGTCTTTGTTTTACTTGACTTGCTTGTCTGTTGTTTCCTCAAATATCTGAACAGGTGCTGATTCAAAAAGCAAAAAAAAAAATTGCCATTTCTCTACAAAACTATATCAAAAACAAGCCTCTTTGGTCTCTAAGCCATAAATGATAAGTTGCATATGCTAAATATGCCTTTGCATATATAATCAAGGCAGCTATTTACTTGCGAAACCTTTCATGAACCTTGACTGCACAAAAACGCCTCAATTTTTGCACCTTCTTTTTCACTTGCTGATGCTTCCGTCATTAATTTCATATTCCCATGCTCACTTTATACCATCATGCTTTCGTTGTTTCCTTCTTTAGTAATTCTTCCCGTTTATCCACCACAAAACAAAGCTGAATCCCAGGTGACAGGGAGGTCAAGGCTGCAGGTTTCAACTTGAGATAAGAGCAGAAAAACACAGACTGCAGACAGACGGACAGGAGAACAGCACAATGCAGCCATGTCTCCTTCCCCTGCTCTCTGCAGCTATCAGCACTCACAGACCTCCCTCTCTCTCAGCTGTGGATCAGAGAAGCTTTCATTAACACATGAAACAAACTCGCAGCTAATCACAGTGACTCGTTTGAGAAAAACTTTCCATCCTCGTCCCTCAGGGATTTGGTCACGCTGCTTTCATGACACTCTTTCCCTGTGTCTTCCTGTATTTTTTCTTTCTTCCTCCATCTAATGTTTCTCGTCTACTTCCTCTAAACTGTTCAGTCGACTTCCAGAAATCAGTCATTCCTGCCCTCCTCTGACCGCACGGGGTCAAAGGTCAGCGGTCTATCCAAACTACATCAGTGTGTTCAGGTCAGGTCAGACTTTGAATCCACCCGTTCACATGCCAAAACAAACTTAACAACCAACACTGAAATCCTTCCTGTGCTCACTAACATCTATTTGACTCTTCCATCACGTGTCAGCAGAGTTCGTGTCTGTTTTCAGTCACATTAAAGCTGAAATTCATCTCCTTTTATTCCTCCAAACATTCGTCTACATCGCTCAGTTTCAGGGCAACGTTGTATGGAGTCTGAAGTGTGCCAAAAATAATAATAATAATGGTAATAATAAAATATTTTAAAAAGCTATTATTGTTTAATAACATTTGCAAGAAACGTACAATGTAAATAAAAAGATTTTTTTAACTTATTTTAAATTTTATTTCTATCTTACACATAAAAGGAGATAAAAGCTATGAAATAAAAATAATAAAAATAGTAGTTAACATTTTGCTGCTTATTTGCTTTTTAAATATGTAATAGGAGAGGGCAGTTATGTATCCCGGGGAAAAATATTAATGAAAAGATTGTCAATGGGGAAAAAAAAGAAGATTTGCCAATTAATAAATCTACTTGATTTTTTAAAAAAAGATTTAATGTAATTGATAAATTAATTTTAAAAACAGTCGCTTAAATTGTTTTTTTGTTGACAAATGAGCTTTCTCAATGAATTAAAATTTCAAATGTTTCAATAGTAGACAAATTATTTTAATTTTAATTTTATCCAATTAAAAAAAGTCACTGATTCATTTTAAAGATAAAAAAGGAAACATTTAATTATTTGATTAATGCAAAAAAATTTGTTTTACTTGCTCCAAGCAAATGATGCAAATTAAATGAGAACTTTTTGCCTCTTGTGGTCTCCTTAATTTAATATTTATTTTTTTCTACCTTTACTCTCTATTTGTATCAAATTGATTCATCAACTTGATTTTTTTTATTTATAACGTAATTGCTAAATTAATTTTAAAAGTTGTTTAAATTGCATTTTTTTGGTTGTTTTTTGTTTACTATTGAGTTGGCTCATTAAATTAAAATTATAAATGTAACAGGAGGAAAAGAATTATTCATGAGAAAAAAGGTGGACACATTAGTAAATGGAATATTAATTTTTTTTAAGGGGGATTTTGTCAATGTGATTCAATTAAAAAAGTATTACTTCATTTTAAAGAGAAAAAAACCCCATTGAATTATCTCATTAATGTAAAAATGTGTTTTACGTGCACCAAGCAAACGGTACAAATCTAATGAGAACATCTTGCCCTTGGTGACCTTGTCTCCTTAATTGATTGTTTATTTTTCTACCTTTATATTCTGTTAAACACAATAAATGTAAAGTAAAACAATATTAAAAAAAATATGATTAAACACACGAAACATTACATTTTTCTTTTGGCACACTTGAGACTCCGTACCTGCATGTTCCCTTTCTCACTTCAGACATATTTCTCAACTTATTCAAGCAAAATGCAAAATTGATGACGACGTCTTTACAGTACGTCCAGAGTATTCTCTAAGTCAGTGGTTCCCAACTGGTGGGTCACACTCCAAAAGCGGGTTGTGGGTCCATTCTTAATGGACGCAAGTGATTCGCCAACGTGTCAAATTTGTAAATGACAGAGACTAACTGACAGCTACTTAACAGAGACAGCAAACTCCTGCACAACATGGCCAAACGTGAGTATGATGCTGAACATATTAAACTGTGTGGACCTTGAACTAATGACTCAGGAGAAATCTGGACCAGTTGGGAACCACTGCTCTAAATGATCTGATATTCCCGTCTTGTCTTTGTAGCTACAGCTGACACTCATGTTGTGTGTTTACCTCTAGTAGCAGTCTGGATAAACTATTCTCCGTGTCTGTGTCAACAACCAGATCGGTGCTCCGCCTCTGTACAATAAACTAAAATAAGACTTTTGTCATTTCAGGAAAACAAAATAAAACAATAAAAAGCTTCACCCATATAAATTAAGAAAGAAAATATGTACAGACCTTTAAAACAAACAAAAATTAAATAAAACTCTAACTCAACATATGGCCTTGAGTCTTTCACAAGTTTAAAAGGAGAAAAGAGGGAAAAATCAGATAAATTATGTGACAGCAGGACAGAGAGAGAAGAGTAAGAAGAGAGGGATGGATGAAGAGAGGGAGAGAAGATGAATGAATATGGCACGATGAAGTGAATCTTTGGTGTGAGCAGGCAGCAGTTTGAAGTCTTTAATCCGGAATGAATCAAACTCCAGCATCCAGATTTTGTCCGTTCATCCTTCACTTGCTGTCTCTCTGTTTATATCCTCCCTCTTTCTGTCTGTTTCATCCCTTCTTCCAGGCGCTGGGTCCTCTCTCCTCACTCTGCGTTCACAAATTTACACTAGTTTTCTTCTCTGCAGGGAAGAAAAAAAATCCCTCCTCTGTCCCTCTAGGGGGCAGTAGTCCTGTTCACTGGGGGTTAATCCTCTAAGAGGGCCCTCTGACCTCCCTCAGCGCCTCCTGCAGTCTCTGGCGGTAGGCCTCGTAGCGGCGAATCACCGCCTCCTTCTGCTCATCCTCTTCCTTGTCGAGGATCCGCAGGAAGTTGCGCAGCTCGGGGATGGAGAACGCATCCCACTGAGGAGAGGAGCAAACACACAAACTTTATTTAAACAGCAAATTTTAATATTGAAATTGATATTTACGATGCTCATGGTAATTCCAACTGATCGTCTCATGATGCAACGACACAATAACGAGGTAATACGTCAAATTGTGACCCACTGTATAAAAATTATAACACGTCAAGGTACAATTTTGACTTCTTGTTTCATAAGTTTTCATCTAACACAGTTTATCTTCCATCTTATCTCACTTATCACGAGTGTTTCTACTTCATCCTGACCTTTCATCTGTTTATCTGCAGAGGGGCTTCAATAAAAAGGAGTAGAGAAGGAGTAAAAGGAGGAATGAAGAACGTGGGAAAGAGGAGGAGGAACGAGAGACTTTAGGTAATGGAAAGAAAAGAAGAGAGGGATGAGGAGGAGGAGAAGGACGCAGGATGAAGCAAGCGCAGACGAGGAGGAGACGAAAGAGCGATTAACAGGAACAAATATTTAGCTGGAAATCATTTCAGAAGATGGAGAGGTGGAAGTAGGTGGAGGATGGAGGTGTGGTGTTACCATGACTTCTCCAGTCTGTTGTTCCCTCAGTACGAAGCTGAGTGTGTCGGTGTCGGGTCCTGCCACCAGACGAAGGAACAGCGGCTGCTCGCCATCCGCCAGCTTACACACATACACTGAAAAACACACACACACACACACACACATGGATTAATTTAGGCAGTAAAGAATGTGCGGTCCTTCAAGCCACATGGATGCAGGCACCACTGTGGTCGCTGCAGTTGCATTTTGCAGCATGTGTGCATTTAAACAGGCATGGCAGAGGATGAAAGGATGGGCGCGGCATATTAACGACCACAGTAATTTACAAAAACAGAGAGGGAGATCCTTGTTGTTAGACTGAACTGATGTTGCAGCAAACAGACAGACAGCACTGGACTTTAAGGGCTGATGCAGTCATAATATTGGCCAATATTCTTTTCTTGGATCATCATTTTTGGCGAGCAGCTTTGAAATTTGTTACTTTAAGAGTTGTGATAAAGATTACAAAGATTCTCACCTAACATATTTTCAGAAACACATTTAAGCTTCCTGTTTAACTGTAATTCAAGATCTTTTGTTGCCAGCCAGCCGCCATATTGTTTCCTGTGTCGTTTACTGGTCTGGTGTGGCCGTGTGGGGCTGTATATTCTGGTAGTTGTAGGTTTTCTACCTCTTGATTAAAAAAGCAAATGCCACAGTCCATTTCCTCTGTTTCCTCTGGTCATGTAGCACCATTTTCAAAAGTACTTGCTTCTGTCTACAGCCCAGACAGCCCAGTATTTGAAAAGACCATCCCTCCAGCAATTAAACACTTCTTTAAAGATGATATGAAAAAAAAAAAAAAAGAAGTCATTGAGCAAATATATTCAACCTGAATTAAGAATATTTGATAAATAAACACAGAAATGCAGCCTACCAAGCTAATTTAGATGTTGATATAAAGTAGTTTTGAATAAATAAATAAACAAAAGAGAGACACAGAGAGGGAGCAGAGCAGGACAAACTAAAATTTAGAGGGATAGTTTGACATTGTGGGGAAAAACATGATTATATTACATAAATAATCTGCCTTTTTCTTTTTTTTAGAGAAAGTACGATTGGCACTCTCATATCCATCTTTTAAATATGAAGCTACAGCCAGCTGGTTAGCTTAGCTTAGCATAAAGACTGGAAACAGAGGGAAACATCTAGCCTAGCGCTGAATGATCTGGCACACAGCATTTTAGCACTGCTTTAAATTTTTGTGTCTTATCTAACTCATCTAACATATTTTAAGATACAAATATCTATACCACACTGTTAAATATTAAGCTACAGCCGACAGCTGGTTAGTTAAGCTTAGCATAAACCTTGGAAACGGGGGGAAACAGCTATCCTAGCTTTAAACAATAGTCGCAAAATCACAAGTTGTTGTTTGGACACTTCGGTTTTTCTACAGATTAAAACAAACGGGATATATTGTGTTCATTAGCAAGCTTTAAAGGTGCTTTTATATTTGGACAGAGCCAGCTAGCCGTTTCCCTGTTTCCAGTCTTTATGCTAAGATAAGCTAAGCTAAACGGATGCTGGCTGTAGCTTCATATTTACCAGACAGATATTAGAGAGAATCGTCTCATCTAACTCTAAGCAACAAAAGAAATGTATTTAAAGATAAGAAGATCTATACAACACTGTTAAACATGAAGCTACAGCCAGCAGCTAGTTAGCTTAGCTTAGCATAAACACTGGAAACAGAGGGAAACATCTAGCCTAGCGTTGAACAATAGTCTGGCACATAGCATTTTTGCACTGCTTTAAATTTTTGTGTCTTATCTAACTCATCTAACATATTTTAAGATACAGAGATCGATACCACACTGTTAAATATTAAGCTACAGCCGACAGCTGGCTAGTTTAGCTTAGCATAAACGCTGGAAACAGAGGGAAACAGCTAGCCTGGCTCTCTTTCAAGGTGAAAAAATCTGTCTTTTATGCACCTTTAAAGCGCAGTAATTGACATGTCACGCTCCAGGATGTCCATGCACCTGACCCAGGAAATAGTCCAGTATATAACTCACCTTTCTGTATGAATTAAACTACTCCTTTAAGAGACCAAAGCCACAGTTGCAGGTAACAGTTATCTCAAACCAGTCTTAGAACAAACAGAGAGTTTATCTTCCTTCAGGCAGACGTCCGACCTCAACTGGAGTCAGTCAGTTTTATCCTTGAAGGTCACAGACATTTCTACGTTTCTACCACCACACTTTTAATGACTTGAATGAAAGCTATTGTCTGGAAGTTTATATATGACATTCTGTACATATGAAGTCCACATCTGCTGTCACCCTGTTTGTCTAGACACTGTCTTTTATTAGCTGCCTGAGTCTCACTGTAGGTCTCAGTAATGAGGTAAAGAAAGCTTATATGACAGCAGTGACACGAACCCTTCGATGGGGGAAAACACACAAAATCCCCATAAAAGTTTGGGGAAAATATTTTTTACAGGCTTCAAACAACACGTAAAAACAAGACAGACAAATTTAATAAAATCACAAGGCCGTGTTTTATAGTATAAACCCCATAAACGCCGTCTTTCTCCTTTCTTGGAGACGCTAAAGATAATATCTGAAACTCAGCTCCCCTGCAACAGCTGCTGGTTCATAAAGTGTGTGTGTGTGTGTGTGTGTGTATTTATATATACATGTGTGAGTATTCCTGGGGAGCTGTTGATAGTGGGAAGAGCCCAACAAAAGGGCGAGGCATTCAGAAATACACACACATGCACACTCCCTTCATACACACACACTCTAATACACACAGATCGTCGACACCATGTCAGTGCCAAAGCATCTGATACTGAGCTTGGCATGAGTGGCATGAAACACTGTCTCCAGCGCTGTCGTTTTCACTGTCTCACACACACACACACACATACACACTAGCACAGAGTCAGCAGGCTTCAGTCTTACCCTGCTCCTCCCTGCGGTAGCGTTTGTACAAGGCGTATTTGGCCGGGTTGTCAGCGACTGTGAACTTCGTCAGCAGGGCGACTATCACCTGAACACACACACACACAAGAATAAAACACTCAAATATGAAAACACTAATGACGCTATTGTGTCAATAATGAGCTCATTGACAGTTAAACCCTGAATCTGGTTGAACAAGCTGCACAAATTTTGAGTTTCTTTGCCTATCTTTTGTGATCTGATGGAGGCTGAGGGGTTATGTTACTGTTAACTTAAACAAATACTGATGTAAGTGCCTGAAAACGTAATTTCGAGTGATGGGATCCGGCATGAACACGCTACTTTCTGCGTGAGTTTAATTTCATTTTTGTCACCTCACCTGAGAGGTTTCTGTATTTGTGTTTTTGTTTGTGCTTTTCTGACTGGTCTGAAGTGGGCAGGCCTCGAAAAAGGTCACACTCCTCTTTATTTTTTAGTGTAAGACATTTAATAAACCATATTTAAAGGCAGGATTGTGAGTTACTTTTTGTAAAGACGCTCTCCAGCTTAAGTGACAGTAAACGCCAACCCCAGATTCACTCTCATTCAGCATTTTGCCTCGCTATCGCTCGCTGTCAGAAAACAGAAACTTACTGAAGCTAATTGAGTTTTTAATAAAACTTTAACATCAGCCGGCTCCTGCTGAATCCTGACCTCAACCCGTTTGTCATCAGATCTTAATTAAGTTGTGATGACGTGTGTGTGTGTGTGTGTGTGTGTGTGTGTGTGTGTGTTAGCCACCTGTCTGACTGTGTTATTGGAGCTGATGTGGAGGGTGTTGGTGACTCCTCTGGGCAGATAGAAAGCCTCCTGCACCAGGGCTCCTCCTGCTCCTCTCTGACCCCCCCGCACCGTCACCGGCCTCCTCAGATCCATCTGGACCTTGATGAAACCAGTATACACACCAGTAGGACCCTACGGGAGAGAGTGCAGAGAGAGAGAGAAAGTTAGAGTACTATATCATAATGTGTTTACCACTTGTTGTCTATTTAATTTCTTTTTAAACATTCTAAAACACTATACTTACAATGTACATCATATAAAAGAGAATACCACACTCACTGATCAGACCAATAAAAAAAACCTGAGAGATTTATGTATAATTTTGACACTGAAAATGCACATTTCTGTTGACTTATTTCTGTTAGTGATTTGTTATTCTGTTTATGTTTTTAATATGTTGTGTTTAATGCTTTTACAGCCACATCTACTGACCATTAATATTTGAACTGGCAATGCACGATATATATCTTGGTATTTTCTACAAAATGTTGCAAGTCAGAGCCACATTTGAGATGTCACAAACTCTTTTATAAAAACAGACTGATCAAAATAAAATGCAAAGACAGGTCTTTTATTCTCTCCTTGAAAATATACAGCTGCACAACAGTTACACCTCCAAAACACTAGTGGGTGGCGGGGTTTCTGTGAAGTGCTGTAAAGTTTAGTTGATTTAAAACACACATTAAACATGGCTTAATAGAGACAATTTCAAACACAAGTACACAAATCAGCTTCACTATAACTCGCAGCATTCACAGACAAACACTTGTCTTTATCTGGACACATTTTCCCCACAAATACAACATGCTAACATTATTAGCACACGCCTATGGCATTTTACATTGTATAAATTAGCCTAGCAGGTAGCAGACTTTTCCTCTACTCATATGAAGCTAGGCACAACAGCAACATGTAACAAAGGTAAGGTTACAAAATTCGGCTCCATTACAACTCACAAGGTTCACTGACAAAATAACTGTCTTATACTAAACACGTTTTACAAACAAATACAACATGCTAACGTTATTAGCACAAGCCTATGGCATTTTACACTGTATAAATTAGCCTAGCAAATATCGAAGATTACTAATTGACTTGATTAATCCGTTATAAAAGTAGTTGTAAGTAAAATGCATTAAAATCAGAGTTGCATGTAAAAACAATCACTGTAAAATCAGGCAAGCTGAAGTGAACTACAGACACAGAATCATTCACAGCATACAACGAGATCACCGGGTGTATTGTACACACAGTATGTGCTATATGATCTTTCCAGAGGAGACCAGTTCACCCAATAAGCCCCGTGTGTCCTGCAGCACAGATGGCCCCAGACGGAGGAAAAGCATCTTAATCTCATTACTCCATACGGGGCTTGGAGGACTGTGTGTGCAAATGTATGTGTCTGTGTGGCGGTCATAATCCAAAGAATGAGAACAGTATGAACAGAAGTATAAAAAAAAAAGAAAAGAAAAGAAAACGAGCTGAAACTAGACAGGGAGACAAAGAGAAACTTCATCACAGATGAAGTGATAAGAAAGAACAATAGACAGAGTTAGAAAGAAGGGTGTGGGTAAAGATTAACAGTGTGATACTATCAGCTCCAACAGGTGTTGACTAGCAGGTTTCAGACTTATGACTGTACAGTTACCTAACTTCCTGCTGACTAGAATCATTTATGTTCACTACACCTGGGCTCATTTAGCACGAGTCGGCTTTTTTCTACTGATTCGGCACGTTATATCAGCGCTGGAGACAGTGGCACCCTTCAATGAATGAAATTTCTCTGATTGGCAGTTCAGCTCGGCGCACAAGAGGAGAAACGGAAGTGAGGAAAGTAAACAAAAAGCTAAGTCAAGAAGGAGTGAGAACAAAATAGTGTTGTCACGATACCAAAATCTTTGTTTCGGTACCAATATGAATTTCGATACTTTTCGATACTTTTCCTAAGGAAAAGTCCTTTTGGATACAAACCTTTAGAACAATAAATAGTAGAGGTGTAACGGTACCAAAAAATCATGGTTTGGTAAGTACCTCGATACGGACGTCGAGGCAGACTTTCTCTTGTCTTTTTTCACGTGTGCCAGCTGCGAATGTTGATACAGGTGCTGTCATACACACCACTTGCGCAATATGTGCTCCAATAGGAACAAGGAAGGCGTTTGTGTGCATAAATGAATTAAATAAATTAATGAACTGAATCAATTTAAAAAGTACCGGTATTTTCCAAATGCAGTATAGTACCGTTTGGAATACTCTAGTACCACGGTACTATTTTAGTACCGGTATACCATGCAACACTAGAACAAAACAAACTTGTTACATGAAGTCAGATTATTTTTCTTTAGCCACGAGCTCTTTCGTAGAAGCCTTTTATGATGGCTTGTGTTATTGTTCACTGGCGCATGGTAAATATGCTCTGTTCTTTCAACACTGGATCGAGTTGTTAATGTGCTAACAGGCTAACTAGCATCAAGATGATCTTCTGGTTTCTAGTTTTGAATGATGAATACAGACTACCCCCTGTCTGCTGGTGTGGAGAGTTACTTCCTTTCACACAGGTGAGGATCATGTATGCTTGTTGGCCATCTGCTGTAGTCTTTGCAGTGTGTTCATGTGCAACTTTTTAGTCAAGATAAAGGCAAAGTGAGGCTATGCAGCAGGGGCTTTCGTCGCCACTAGTTCTCTGAAGTCGGTTTGGTGTGTCTGGGCCTTTAATAGTATAGAAGTTGCAGTAGAACCAGTTTAGAAAATGCTGAAAACTACAAAACACTCCACAGCTGATGCAAATATTGTATACTGGCCCCAAGAAAGGCCTTTAGTTACCTGCTGTACCTAAATTAAGAAAAATACATAATTTTCACAGTGCACTATTGATTTCGAGATACCTAAACATTCCTAACTGGTCGATATCCCACAAAACAAAACTGAGCTTTGCCTAAAACCCTTCATTTTTACTGGATATAACAAGGAGTTATAGTGTGTCATGGTGTTGAATACAACTTCAGACAGCTTTCACACTGCCAAGGGAAACAGTGTGGGGGAGAACAATAGCAGGAATAACATCACATCACTCTGATGTGACTGCTGAGGAATGCTGCAAGCTGGAGGAAGGGCATCAGCACACCTTTAACTGTTGAGATTAAAACCCTCACAGCTGTTATTTATATTAACATATTCTGTTACTTTAATAGAGGAAGAATAGTTTGTTAATTAAGGCTTATTGATTCACGAACACACACACAAGATTACAGAAAAGACTGAAGACATAAAGTTCATTCGTGACTTTGGAAAAAGTGGTTAACACACAGCTGTTCTGTAGGTTTTGATGGTATCACAGGATCTTCCGCAGCAGATGGAATTTGCAGATTTCCAGGTTTCTAAACATTCTGAGAACTTATTCAAAATGGCAACCTCAAAGCTTTCGGTCCTGGTCTATTTGGCAGCACATGTAGTTACTGGTGGTGCTAAATGTGGTTTAATCTCATCATTCTGTGAGCAACCTGGGACCTGATTTTATACTTCACATGGCATGAGTTTAGACAACACCGTTTATATCTATATAGGGTCAAGTTGCGTTACATGACGCATACCAGGGTGCATCTCTCCTCTCTCACACTCTCCGCACAGCTCCGCCCAACTCATTCACTCACAAGTTCTCCAGCAACACAGCCATAGCCTGACGTGCACCTCGCTAGATATGTAACTACACGTCACAGTGACGCAGACCTCCTGTCTATTTCTGTAAGCTGAAACCATTTCCCTCAGTGGAAACAAAGCTTTTTTTTTAAACTTTAATTTCACAGATAAGAAACAATAAATTGTGAAGACAATAAAGCCTCCACATAAATAGCATTTTAAGTCTTGTGTGTGATTTATCCTGGCTTCATATGAGCAGAGGAAATCTCCGTTAGCTGCTAGGCTAATTTACACAATGTTAAATGCCATAGGCTTGTGCTAATAACATTAGCATGTTGTATTTGTTTGGAAAACTTGTTTAGTATAAGACAGTTGTTTTGTCATTGAACCTTGCGAGTTGTAATGGAGACGAATTTTGTAACCTTTGTTAAATGTTGCTGTTGTCCCTGGCTTCATATGAGTGGAGAAAAACTCTGCTAGCTGCTAGGCTAATTTATACAACGTAAAACTCCATAGGCTTGTGCTAATAATGTTAGCATGTTGTATTTGTGGGCAAAATGTGTCCAGATATAGACAAGTGTTTGTCTGCGAATGCTGTGAGTTATAGTGAAGCTGATTTGTGTACTTGTGTTTGAAATTGTCTCTATTAAGCCATGTTTAATGTGTGTTTTGAATCAACTAAACTTTACAGCACTTCACAGAAACCCCGCCGCCTACTAGTGTTTTGGAGGTATAACTGTTGTGCAGCTGTATATTTTCATATAGGGAAAAAAAATCCCTGTCTTTGCATTTTATTTTGATCACAGTCTGTTTTTTAAAAACTGCTTGTGACTCAAATGTGGCTTTGACTTGCAACTGCAAACATGCAGCCCATTTCGTAGAAAATACTGAGATATATATCGTGTATCACCAGTCAGCCTCTAAGTACAGAGATATGAAATTTTGTTCATATCGCCTTAGTGCGCAGCCAATAACTGAGCTTTGAATGACCTTAATGACCATCTGACTTTCTCATACAGGTCACAATCTTGAGTTTCATAGTGATGGCAGCAGCATACAGAATATCTACAGGATGCAGTGTAGATAAAAGACAGTATTTTTTCTGTTTAAAGGAGAAACAAGCTCCAAGCCAAACACAAGAAACTCACTGACTCAGCCAGTGTATCAGTGTGTGTTTGTGTTTGTGTGTGCGCTCCACTCACAAGAGTCATTTTAAGGTGGTCATTGGTCAGCGTGTTGTACTGCTCGATCTTCTGCCTGATTTCCTCCCGGCTGAGCTCTGTCCGCAGCTCTCTCTCCTTCTCCACATCCTGACAGGGACATAGGGAGAATAAAAGGAAACATGACACAGTAAGTCACACGTCAACTAAGATTGTTAAAACAATACAGTCTCTATTTGGACAACAGCAGCAGGACACGTGGACGAGTTCCTTATCCGAAATTTTTGTTTTCTACAGATTGTACAGTTCAAGTTTCTTGCTTATCATCTGCACAACAATCCCACAGTTGGAGCTCCAACAGTGTTGTTACAGATATGTATAAGAAAATTTATGGAAGAGGAACCAAGTCTTTTCCAATGTCCTTTTTGAAAATTTGAAGGATCAGCGTAGTTTCCCGTAAGTCCTATATCGTAGGCAACTGGACTTGTTTGAGTTTCGTAAAGACGGCTCTCATCCAAGAGGCATCTTCATCTAAGAGTTGAAACATCTTCAAGAAACTCAGGCAAGTCCAGGCCTACGATATAGCACTTACGATTACCATGTCCTGGATGACTGAGAATCTTCACCGATATAGTTTCCCCTGAATTTCACAGATCATAGCAGTCACCTGCACAATGTCACTAAACTCACTTCCTTGTTTCTGATTATGAGGATGTGCGACACAAATGTTTCATATTTACCAACCAAAATTACAACTAAAGGTCATGCAAGGCAATTCCCTGATGTTCTGCAGTGGGGGTAAACTGTTGTGGTGAAATACAAATTAAAGTCGTCATGAACAAACATGTTTCTACCACAAATCACACCTGAAGAATGGTTGTGTGGACAGCAACAGTGAGTTAGATTAAATATGCACAGTTAGTGGTCACATTAAATCACAAACCACAGTGCTGTTTTATATTTTCTGTGGAACAAGTTGCCTTTGATTTTTAATGATTATATAAATAAAATGACAGCTATTTCTTGCAATTTTTACTTGCAACTTCATTGTGAAAAGAAAACATCTTACAACAGTGCAACATGTATTGCAATTCTTTTTGAAAAGCTGCCCTCAAATCAGGCATTTTAAGCCGAAACAATTCTGCAAAATTCTGCAAAATCCTCGAGTGACTCTGCATTTTTGCATTGCATAAATTGTGAAAAAATAAACTAATGAAAGATAGAACTTTAAAGATAACTGAAATCTGATCTCCATCTAGTTGGGTCTCAATTTTTGATATGAAACCCTCTGGGTATGTGTTCAACTTATTTCTCCACACTGTGATGGAGTTGTTAAATGCATGACATGGTTTCACAGTTAAAGGAGCTGCATGTTGGTAGGAAAACGTGATCAGAGCTGGACTGTTAAAGAAGAGGAGCCTTGATTTTAAGATTAGGAGAGATAAGGGAAACATTTGAAAAAAGGCATTAAAACTAAATTTTGCTTTTAAAAGGACAAGTTGGTTGACAAGTGAACAAATAAACAGGACAAATAAGTGATGTCAGTAGAGAATCTCACATAAGAGGATTTGACTCTTCAGTACATCGTCAGGAAGCAGAACAGGAAAGCTTGAGAGCTTTTCCTCTTTCATACATATGTACTTTGTCACTGAACAGTGCTTTAGGGTAAAATAGAGCAGTGCGGTATTTTTCATGTGAACCAGCCCTTCTGGTGCAGCGTTAACTCAATTAAGGAAAAGCCGTTGAGTTGAAATGGTTTGAAAACATTCTGTCAATTAATTCCCAAATTAAGGACATATGTTCATATAAAACAGAAGTTCGGCCCTGAACCCTATGTAACATCCCATTTATCCAGAAGCCAAAGATCTTTAGTTGCACAGCTGAGAGCTGGCGTTCTTCCTCTGGCCATTGAGATCAGACGGTTCAACAATATTCAGGAGGAAAACAGAATATGTGAGCTATGTGATTGGGTGAAGTGGAAAGTGAGTCCTGTTTTCTCTTACACTGCACAAACTATGATGACTTAAGAGAGCGTATGTTCCATGAAATGGCTTGTCCAAACCCTGACATCTGTTGGTGCTCAGATGACCAAAAGCTAGAACGGTTGTTTAGTTCTGACGCGTCAAAGTTCGCCAATTTTAATCAGGCAAGACTGTGTTCAGTTAGTATTTATTTTGATGTCTGTCTTTCAGTTTTACATGATAAATACCTTTGTGAGTGATCCACGAACTCCATCTTCCAAATTGATGATCTGATTGTACATGATACTTTTGTTGCCTTGTTTCATTTTCTTTACTTTTAGTGCCGTCTGAATTCATATTTGCTGGACTTTATGGTGTCTTGTAAGACCATGCAGGCTGGACATAACTGACTGCATGACAAAGTAATAAAAATTCAATCATTCATATATGAAAATAAAGAGGGAGGACAACTTAATAAGAGCACTGAAAATGAAACACAACATCCTGGCATCATCTATTTCGGAAAGTATACGTTCTATCAACACACTGCAGCGAGACTATTAGCACCCAGTATATCATCTCCTTTCCCGCTTCATCATCTCAGGCTCGGACTCAAAGAGTAAAAAGACACTCACTGCTGGAGGGTCAGCACATGACAACAACATATTTCTAACAGTCCGGGTCTCATGCTGTGTGACTGACTTCTAATATTAGACAATCTCCTGCAGGAAACTCAACAGTGCAAGAAAGACGAGGCTAAAATAGTCGTAGTTTCGCCGGAGGCCACGTGGACTCTAATAATCTGTACAACAGATCCAAACAGCTTGTGATGCATGTGGCATGTACTGAATGCACACATGTGTTTGTCATATCAGCAGCACAAGAGGCTTTACTGAGGCCTGGAGTCGGCAGTCGACACAGTGTTGGTGAATAAATAACCGTAGAGGGCGGAGAAGGTCACAGCAGAGGTCAGCTGATAGAGAACGCTCTAGATAAAGATGACAGATGGACACACGTGTTCAGCACAGCAAAACATCTGCACGTGAGCTTTAATAACCAGAAATCCGAGCAACATTAATGACACCAGGTCACACTGAAACAGCCAAGCCCTCCTTGTAGGGCTGCACGGTATATGCGGTAGACGGTAGAAATGATATAAATTTGGCCCACGGTAGAGATTTGCGCTCTACCGTCCTATCGTCGATGACGTCATCGCACCTGCCTCAGTGTGAAAATGGCTGAGAGCACAGAGACAGCAGAGCAAGAGGAGCTGGTTCACGTCCGTGATTTAGCGTAGCACATGCAACATGTGTTGCTGGAGAACTTGTGAGTGAGTGAGTTAATGTTTTATGAACAGCCCCGGACTTCTCAGACTCTTTTAGCGACTTACCGCTCAGAGGGAACTCATTCAGTGTCTCCCCTGGCAGCAGCACAGCGTCTCTCCCTCTCCTCTCTCGCCGTGCGCACACGGGAGTTGGTTTTCGGCAAGAGAGTTTGTCATAAAGCTTTGGTAATGTAAACCTATGTGACGCTAGGGGCTCCACAAAAAAACTCCATATGTGAATGTGTGATAGTTGTGGTATCATAGCAGCCTGTCACAGGTTACAGCGTGATGATTAGAGGAGAAATGGCAGAGCATAAAGGTCCAGGTGGAAAAAACACAACTCAGTCATTTAGGATTTTGCTAAAAGAAGGAAATTACCGTTTGATATAGATCCCAGGGGACATGTTGCACCATAGAGTGCTGGGTTTTAATTTTGAGTTTTGAGATCTGCATTCTCCACAATAAATGCTCTAAAAAATACATTATATCTTTGCTTTTGTTGTTTTTTTTTGTTGTTTTTTTTATCAATTTAGCTTTGCTAAGGGACTACAAAACCCATTCAGAAACACTTCTATTATAACTTTTACACTTAAATTTATACCGCGATATATACCGTTACCGTGAAGGGATTCGATTTATACCGTGATATAAATTTTAGGTCATACCGCCCAGCCCTACCTCCTTGTATTTATTATTTTACAACAGCACAAAGCTGCGTCACATGCAAAACTATAATTTGGGTCACATGACACAGCCAAATATGTTGCATAATGAGTTGTAAAGAGCCCGTCCACTGACCTCAGAGCCAATTAAAATGTTTTCAGGCAGGCTTGGTTTTTAGGAAAACAGTGGCACATCATGTCCCCACCCTGACTGCCCTGCTACCAAAAAAAAAAAAAAAAAAAAAAAATCAGTTAAAATTACTCTCACCAACTTTAAATCCATTAAATTTTTGGAGTGAAGTTGAAATGGCTGAATGAAGTGACTCTACATAAAGTGAGAGATCCAGTGAAGACTAACGTTGACCATGTGCCCATCAGGACGGTGATCTTTAGGTTCAAGGTTGCTTTTATTGTGTTGATAAAATTATCTTGGATTAAAGTAATTGCTGCACAAAAAGCAGACACGTTACAGAAAGACACCAAATAAAACTGACTGGAAAACAAAAAACACTTCCTAAAACATGCTGTACATCCTTTCCATCCATTAGCTTTTTTAAAAAAAGTATCTAGTATCCAGCATCTAAAATGTGAATAGGTGCTGTGTTTAATTGTCATACGTGAAAGCAAACTGATTATCTTTGAGTTTTTGGACTATTGCTTGGATAAAACAAAACAGGGAGAGGGAGAGACGCTGTGCTGCTGCCAGAGGAGCCGCTGACTGAGTTCCCTCTGAGTGGTAAGGCCTTGTTCAGATTACCACTCCAAATCGGATTTTTAGCATATGCAGATTGTATCTAGCTTGATTTTCCGACAGTCTGGACAGTGAAAAAACACATCCGATTTTCCAAATCTGATTCAAACTACATACAGAGGTGATTTCAAATGTGATTCCTATCGGATTTTTACAGATCTGTTTCAATCTGAACGCACAAGAGGCTTTACTGAGACCTGGAGTCGGCAGTCGACACAGTGTTTATGTATAAATTATCTTGGATTAAAGTAACTGCTGCACAAAAAGCAGACACGTCGGTTCCAGCAGCGCGACACGAACAACAACAACAACAACGACGTAGATCTGGGGAGACGCTTGTTGCCTTGTGATGCCTGTGGAGTTACAAGTAGAAGCCACGGGTTAAAAGCATGGAGGAAAACAACAAACCGTGGACGGACGAGGAGATAAAATGCCTGATAGCTATCTGGGGG